CTTCCTCCAAACACCTCAACGGCATCGGAGCCCCCTGCAAATGAGAGTGAAAGACACTCAGAGGACTTTCACTAAAATGCAGGATTTGTAATGTTTCTCAGAATGTAAAGGTTCCTCACCATCTCCTCCAGCAGCCTGATGCTCTCCTCATTCAGATCTCTCAGTCTGAACTGCGTCCAGGTACATGGGATCACTGCAGCATCAGCCACATGCAGCACCACAAGGACGATGCTCAGCACCTTCAGAGCGTCCATCACTCAACTAGTAGACAATGGAGTTTATGGAAAATCAGCGAATGAGCTCGATCCTCCACTCAAACAGTGAGAATGAAGAGTGGCACCAGTCTGTCTCTTTTTATTGTAGTTCTTGTGCGGTTTGCGGGTTCAGTTGCCCTCACGTCTCAAAACTACAGGGGAGCAACGGGGGAATTATTGATCTATGGTCCAGAATCAAAACTGGTACTTCATTTTTTATACATCTGAATGATTTGTGTGGCGTTAATAGTAGTCTTAACATCAAAATTATTAATATTAGTGTATTTGTGCTGGACATTACTTGTGTATCAATAAATGTGTGTCTATCGTCTGGTTCAACGGTGAAATCCTGAGATATGTAATTATTGTAGTACGACATGAAAAACAACCACTGGCTTAATGTCATTTATGGTCGCTCTGCAAGAAGTGCCTGCATGTATTAGAGTGTTTATATTAGCATTACTGCATGACTTGCTCATCTGAATGACTATTTTTAGCACTGAGGAAGTTTGAGCGCGGTTTCGTTTCAGTTTGGCATGAAGCCCATAAAATATAATCTGTTCAAATAAACTGATAAACTGTCTGATCTCCCTAAAATCAAAGTAAACTCTAATTTATTCAGAAACAAAGTCTGTTCTAGTGCAGAAATCTGCACAGGCTAAAGGTATTGCATCACGATCCTATGACCTCACTGGCCTGATTTTCCTGACGTTTTCTTAAATGCACAGGTAAATATCAAAGTCAGAAAACGAGAAGAAAAACTTCACATGAAAAAAGTCAAACAGTAAACGAGTCTAATTGTCGCTGTTGTGCAGAATGAAGATCTGGCTGTTGTTGCTCTTGAAACTCTGAGCGGTGTTGATAGAATCTTCAAGAACGACCAAACATCTGTCACGTGGGACCGAGAAACACTCGGACTCTTCAAGAACATCATCTCTTCTAGACAAGTGGAGAATCTGCAGAAATGTGTACGTTAAATATGTCGGAGTGCGATTGTTTCTGGAAATCAATTCAGTCAGTCAATAATCAACATGTTACATTAATATCCATAAAAACACCGTCCATTAAATCTTTCAAGGTTGGAGAAGATACATCCCAGAGTGCAGTGGGCAGTCCCTCTGCAGGCAGCATTGGTCAACTGAAGTCCTATTTTGAAGAGCTGGAGGAGAAGCTGAGAGTGAAGTAGAAAAATCTTCATCCCCGGAAAAACTACAGATTCCCTCAGAATTGTATTTGTTCATTTATTTATTTGTTTGTTTGTTTTGCTGGTAACGCATTTAAAAAAAAGTTTTTTTGTGTGATGAATTGTGCTTTTTATAGCTTAATAAAACCAGATATTAAAAATAAGTTGAAAGATCTGCGTTGTTCGTTTTTAAAAGTGTCATTGTGTTTAAATAAATCATACAAGGGATTTAATGAAACGTCAAGCTCAGGAGAGCTGAAATAAAAACATGTAGAACTGAAATTATTATAATAAAGATGTAAGAAAGAAGTAGCAAAGGTTACTGGCTACAGTTTTATTAAACCTTTCGTTCAAATTTAAACGCTGCCAAAATATCGTCATAGATGACGTCAAAATAAATCATAAAGCTCAGAGAGTGATACTGAGTGGCGATTCTAGGATAAGAGCTTGCTGAGCACCCAATGAGACCAGACCCGCCCCCGATTTTAAACAAAAAAAATGTACGTTCTACAGTAATTTTTGACTACCAATCCCACACTTGTGACGGAACAAAGCCACAAAGCCATCACTTGGCCGACCAATGGCACAACAGCTAGCTTCACTCATTTGAATTCAAACAGTGAGTGGACAGTGGTTTAATAACAACCTGCAACATTAGCTTCCTAGACAAAAAAACGTCAGCTAAGAATAACAGCATAAATAGTGATCTGAGATTCAGTGCAGCAAAAACGAAGACTGCTGCTTATGACTGTGATGTGTTGGTGCTGAATGATAAAGTAAAGAAATCCTCATCTGCGCTACTTACTGGAGCCACAACACCACAGACAGTCACACTGTAAGTGGCACTAGAGTGTTTGTGTGTGTGCCTAGGTGTGTGCGCGCACGCTCTGCTTGAGCATCCCTAAATAGGGGCTAGACACGCCTCAGGTGGTACTGTTTATGATTGATTAAAAATGCACACAATAAAACAGACAATCAAACAGTCAGATGGAGTTTTTTTCATTATTTGCAAAGAACTGGAAGTGAAAACGGACACATGATGTAAAAGGAAACTGTCTAAACCGAAACAGTTCTAGCTAAGTGATATCTGCTTTTTGCACTTATACAACGCGCCCTTCGCTTTTCAAACATCCCATGATCCTCAGTACAAAACCCGCATCATGGACCCCAGAGCGAGCAGATATTCTGGAGATCTTCCTAACAGTCCTGAACGCAGGTAGCTCGTGCATTTATCATTAGACTGCAGCTTCTCACTTCTTGCGATGTTCATATCTACAAACTAACCATGATCTCTTCTCCTCTTCAGCCCAGTATCAGAATGGCATTTCAGCGTTTGTCTTGGATCAGCACTCTTCTCTGCATTGCGCAGGTCAGCTCAATGCCCACTAAATGCCAGCTTCAGCGGACGCTCGTGGCAAAAACACACAACCTGCTGGAGACCATGGTACGTAGACCCCTACACTGTAATCCCGCATTTTGTTGTCAGTTGTACATAAAACTCAGCATATCCCACACATTGCTCAACAATTTTAAGTTAAGGGAAAGTTTTTGATGATTTTGTACACCCAAATGACATTTTTGAGTTGAATTAACTTATTGCTATTTCGTTTAGTCTGTTGCTATGGCAACTTTGAAACCCCACATTCAAAAAATGACGACATTTCTGTTGGTTTTAATTGTTTCTTTCTCATTAAAGTTGCTGAACAAATGTGTGAAACTGAGTGAAACTAAGTAAGCTGTGAAATACAATTACATGTTTGTTTTGTTAAAACACGATTTTATTAGATAAAACGTATATTTCTTTCCCATTGGCTGCTGGCTCCAACTATTTGCATACTTAGTGTATCTTTCCCTTTGTTTTACTCACCGTCAGTGTGCTTTCATTCCACCCAGGCCGCCTTTCCTCAGGCAAATGATTTTTATATATGCTTTACTCAGCTGTCTGACATTGTGTTGTTGGCTAAGAATGAAGGTTATCATGTTCTCTGCTAATGAGTGGGCATTTGTGTTGGTCAGTGAACATGTTCACAGTAACGGTTAACCCTTCGATGTTTAGCAAAGAGGTTAATATCACTTAAGCAAAAAATAATTTTAAATTGAGTTTTAGTTAAATTACGTATAGTTAAAATACAATTTCAAGACGTTAAATTAAAATAATTAGAATTTGCGAGTTGCGGAAACGTATGTTTATATTAGCGTAACTCAAAAATTATAGTTATTCTAACTCAAATTTTCATTACACATTACTTACTTTTTTAAGGCAACCGGTTTTCTGAATGTTTTTTAAGTACGTTCAACTTATCCGGGCCTACAGTGTAGAAGAAGCGCTGACAGGAGATTCATCTCACACACTTTAGATTCTTTGTGTCCTCCTTCGTGGTCATTTGATTCTTGACTCTCCTTGTCCACTGACAGACTGGTCCATTTCCTTTACAATGTTTGGATGACAGTCCAGTTGAAATAAGATCTCCCACATGGGCTCTGCTGTCCAGCAATTCCAAACAGGTCAGTTCTTCCTCATCAGATCTGCTCCAAAGCTTCATTCTGGATAGAAGCTTGAAGGTTTGTCTGGTTAAACTTTATCAGCACTTTGGTCAGCAGGCTGTGTTTATCACTCTGTGCAGGATGTGGGGGCCGCAAAGGCTGTTTATAAGACCCTGATGAAGGTGAGCTCTCTGATGGAGAACGACGGTTTTCCACAGTCCTGGGACGCTGATAAGCTTGTAAAGTTTCAGATCATCGTGGACCGACAGGTCGAGGAGAGCAAATGTGTAAGAAAGTTAAAGAGGCTTTTAAATACATGAAGTGAAGAGGTGAACAGAATGAATGTCTGCATGAAGTGTGTTAAACGTAGATTTGATTTGTTGTTGCAGATTATGAGCATCAAAACACAAAAGGAAGAAGATGATTTTCCTGCGAGAGACGCTGCACTTACAGACTATTTTGAGAAACTCGAGAAACTTTTAAAAGAAAAGGTATGAGAGCTTCTAAAGGAGAAGAAGAACGTTCTCTGTTCTCTACTGTAACTTAAAACATTCATTTATGACTGTGATGCTCTGTGTCTAACAAAAATGTGTGTTTGTGTGTGTGGTATGTTGACAGGAGTTCAGTGTGTGCGGGTGGGAAGTGGTTCGCAGGGAGTTGCTGTCTATTCTGCAGTTCATTCTGGTGGAGAACTCAAACAATTTTTGGTTAACAGTCTAAACTGTGGAAAGAAGAGCTTCTTACAACACTGTTTATAACAGTCCATCTGATGTAAACGTCTTTATTTATTTATTTATTTATTTATTTATTTATTGAGTATGTTTTGTGACGTGGACAAACGCAATAAAAACTGTCATTTGAAATCTTGATTCTGCCGTGTTTGTTAAGAAGAGCTTTATAATGAATTGAAGAGTTCAGTTGCAAAAAACAATATACGCCAATGCAGTGCAATTTCTGGACTTAGAAAAGTTGGTTATCTGCTTAACTGACAGCTTCTTAAAGGTTTATTAACCTTAAAATAAGTTAACAACTGTAAAATCTAAATTATTCTTCTTTTAATTCACTATTACAAGTTCAGTAAACATAAAATTCTAAGCCAACCAGATTACTGACTTTTTACAGTCAAACGTGTCAGCCAAACCCATGAAACGTACACATTTCTGCAGATTCTCCACTTGTCTAGAAGAGATTATGTTCTTGAAGAGTCCGAGTGTTTCTCGGTCCCACGTGACAGATGTTTGGTCGTTCTTGAAGATTCTATCAACACTTCTTAGAGTTTCAAGAGCAACAACAGCCAGATCTTCATTCTGCACAACAGCGACAATTACACTCATTTACTGTTTGACTTTTTTTCATGTGAAGTTTTTCTTCTCGTTTTCTGACTTTGACATTTACGAGTGCGTTTAAGAACACGTCATCTGGGAGCGCGCGCCATCCTTCCTCCAAACACTTCAACGGCATCGGAGCCCCCTGCAAATGAGAGTGAAAGACACTCAGAGGACTTTCACTAAAATGCAGGATTTGTAATGTTTCTCAGAATGTAAAGGTTCCTCACCATCTCCTCCAGCAGCCTGATGCTCTCCTCATTCAGATCTCTCAGTCTGAACTGCGTCCAGGTACCTGGGATCACTGCAGCATCAGCCACATGCAGCACCACAAGGACGATACTCAGCACCTTCAGAACGTCCATCACTCAACTAGTAGACAATGGAGTTTATGGAGAATTAGCGAATGAGCTCGATCCTCCACTCAAACAGTGAGAATGAAGAGTGGCACCAGTCTGTCTCTTTTTATTGGAGTTCTTGTGCGGTTTGTCGGTTCAGTTGCCCTCACGTCTCCAGACTACAGAGGAACCCGGGGGAATTATTTATCTGTGGTCCAGAATCAAAACTAGTATTTCATTATGTATGTGTCTGAATGATTTGTGTGGCGTTAATATTAGTTTTAATATTTAATATTTAATAATTAATATCAGTGGTGGTTTTATTAGCTCTCCTCATTTTGATCGCTCAGCCTGAACTGCGTCCATTTGGGTTCCAGCAACATAATTGTCCGTTCCCTTAATGGATTATATGTGCTCTTTGCAAGTTCCACATTGAGGAAGTTTGAGCGCTGTTTAGTTTCAGATAAAGTCTATTTAAAGTGTAAACGTGTTCAAAGCTGATCAACGTGTTCAAAGACTTTTCTCGTTTGAATTAAAACAGAGTAAGATTAATTTTGAAAGACATTCTGGTATTATGCAGAAATGTGCCCATGCTGCAGATATTACATCACCATTTACACGTTTCATTCATGTGTAAATCATGAAACTGGCCTGACTTTCCCTTTCAGTCATTCACTCGTGCATTTCCGCTGAGTCTCCTTTTCTCTTAAGAATGACTTGAAGCGCTTCAAAACTTCTTCTATCCGTCAGTTGGAACCGAAATCGATTGTTTGATGCCACAGACTGAAACCACTCACTAAAATGTTGAATATTATCTGCCACTGCCATAACTATTTGCAAATCGCTTACAGCCAATCAAATGGTTTAAAAGGGTCATTCTACAGAAACGTTCACTTTTCTATCGCTCCATAGGTGTCACTGGTGTTACCAACCCTCAGTGGTGTTACATATAAGAAAGATAACACCAGAGACAGTAACACCAGTGACAATTTTAATGAAAATTACATTTTACAAAATTGCTGCTACAGAGCATCAAACCACATGGTGTCAATCATGGAATATCCACTAAATATGTCATTTAATCCATTTGTATTCTATTTTTGCACAATTACCTAAGAATAAAGTAGGTCACACCAGTGACGTCAGCTTAAGGCTTCATATGAAATCATGAGCTAAATGAGAAAATATCTGATAACTGAAAACACAGTGGACCCTGGGACAACAACTTTCATTATATATTTTATAATATTTACTTGGCATTTGTTTTCTTTATATCATTTAATTCATATATTTCATGGTCAAGTATATGGCACTCACCCTTTACACATGGCTGTGGGAACAAGCACTTCTGTGGTGCTTGGAATTCTAGATAATTGATGTAAAAGCCAATATTGCTAAAGTGATGGCTCAAGAAGGTGTAATTGTTAAAATAACTTGTTTTATCTGAAAATGTAAAAAAAAAAATTGTAACGCTAACATGTTTTTAAGGGTAATATATCTGTTAACGCTAGGGACACAAAATTGTAGAATGACCCATTGATGGATAATAAAATGAACAACAGCACGTTCGTACAGTACTCCAAACAGAAGTCCAAGCATAAGATATGTAAAAAACATGACTATGTCCAGAGATGGATCAGACGGGCCAGTGCCAAGGGGCCCCGGGGGCCTTACGCCGCAAGATTCGAGGTGGCTTAATGACTGGAGAAAGTCCACTGTCCTTGAATGTGTAATGAATAAATAAATATAAAGGCTCCTCAGCCTAGCATATTTAAAATAATTAAAAGCCCCTCAACACCAAAAGGGTACAAAAATATATACCTGAAAGCATTCAGGTTAGCTTTCGTTGGCTATTGCACATTAAGAATTAATATTTTTTTTATTACATTGCAATGCAAAACTGTTTAAAGTAGATGCAAATAAACGACATCTGTTTGTTAGATCCGTTTTCCTATTCGTTATTCTTTGCGTTATTATCAGAGTCAGGGGCCCAGGGCCCCCAAGAGACCATGAAGTACTCCTGACTATGGCTACTGGCACACAAATGACAACCCTTTCCTCTCTTCAGTATCTTCTCACCCCAAAGTGGTAGGAGTCCTTTAATACAGCCTGTGATGCAGTGAAAAATACATCTAAAAATAATTATTTTGTCTAAAAATTGTAATCTTCTTGTTAAATAAGGAGATTATTAATTACTCCTCCGCCCATGTGACCACCCTCCACACATCCCCCACTGCAGGTTAATCCCACATTCTTTGCATTTTTCAGCCGTTATAGTTTAATTTATTTATTTTAATTTTATTTTTAGAATGAACTTGACTGAAAATCACCAATGAAATAATAATAATAATAATAATAATAATAATAATATTTTTTATCATCATGCCAATGATTAAATATGATAAAACATATTTATACAAGAAATCATTTGTATTTATTAAGAATCAGAAGGAAATGAAACAGATCAGATAAGAAGATAAACACCACGATACGTACAGTTTTAATTAAATGCTAAGTTAAAGAAATACATTTTTAAATGTTTCTTAAAAGTGAGCACTGAGCTAGACTGTCTAATAAAAGGTGGAATTGAGCTCCGCAGTTTAGAAGCAGAGTAACTGAAAGAGGCATCTCCATGTTTACTGTATTTTACAGAGGGTGTTTTCAGAAGGCCTCTATCTGCAGATCTTAGATTACGTGCCAGGACATAAACGGACAGACACTCTGTGATGTAAGCAGTGCTTTAAGGTCATTTAGAGCCTTAAAAACTAGTAGCAGAACTTCAACATCTATCCTGAATGATACAGGCAGCCAGTGCAGTTCTTTCAAAATGGGAGTGATATGATCTCTCTATTTTGTTTTTGTTAGGATGCGCGCTGCTGCATTTGGTTGAGTTGAGTTGTAAGGGATGTATAGATTTCTTAGGAAGTCCAGTAAGAAGATCATTACAGTAGTCAAGTCTGCTTGTAACAAATGCATGAACAAGTTTCTCTGCGTCGCTCTGAGAGAGAAAAGGCCGAACTTTAGCGACATTTCTCAAATGATAAAACGCTACTTTAATGACTGTGTTTACATGCGGGATAAAACAGAGCTCAGAGTCTAAGATCACACGCAGGTTTCGTACTTCAGGATTGGTAAATGAAGCTGAAGAACGAAGTTTCTTATACATCACTTTTCTGTACCAACGATCAATATTTCAGTTTTTTCATGTTTTAATTGTAGAACATTTTGCGACATTGAAATTTGTGACTAAAAACCCTTAAGAACCAATGAATGAATGAATGTATGCATGAATTAACTTGACTTAAGTGCTAATGGCTCCCCTTGTGGTGAGTCTCCAGCGAGCTAAACATCAATGAGCCAGATCTTCTTTGCATAAAACAGCAGTGACGTATCCGTCAATATGGCACAGCTCTGATGTAGGGTAGTAATATCAAGCTTCTAAGAACATTCGAGTTTTCAGCTGAAATCTTGTTATTTTAATGCAGGACATGCGCTTGTTGAAAGTATTCATTGCTTAATTAATGAATGGAAATGTTCATTTTAAGGTATATTTAAACATAAGAATGTGCCAGAAATAGGCACTGAAAAAAAAAACACGCGCACATGCTGTTGTGTACTGTTTCTTCAGTGAAATGATGAGTCAGTTGAAAGTAAAATTATTTTTCAAAAACCAACTTCAGTAGCAGTAACAAAGAAGCAGCTCTAAAACATACAGTTCCTTGTGGAAATGTAGAAATGCAGCGGAACATATTTATACATCCAGCATCTACCATGAGAACTGATGTTTATTAGACTCTTTTCCTTTTTAAGGGTCTAAAATAAAAAGATAACCCTCAAAAGCGAAAGGTGTGAGTAATAAGTAGCTTCCTTTCCTCACAAATATAGTATATTTGGTATTAAATCTGATCATCATAAAGATGTTAATTATTGACAAACCACTGTCTAACAAAAGGAAGGAAGAAAGAAAGAATATATTTTGTTGTTGTCCATTTTTATTAATTTATCAACATGATAAAAGCATTTTTATTCTTTTTTCTTCTCAAATGAATCAGAGGTCCATTACAACAAACTTGTAGAAAAACATAAGATAACAAAACAGTGCTTAAGTTAAAATCTGAGCATAAATAAACAACACAATAAATAATGTCAAATAAATAAATTATTTTAAATAAATAAATTATTTTAAATAAATAAATAAAATGTAAAAAATCATATATAATCATTCATCGTAAAAATACTTATATTGACTGATCACTTACTAGCTTAGTGTTTTTAGACGTCATACATTACATACATACAATACCAAGAAATAAAACAACAATAACAATAAACACTGACACATTCAAGTAACTAAAATAGCATAAATAAATAAATTAACATATATATATATATATATATAGAGAGAGAGAGAGAGAGAGAGAGAGAGAGAGAAAGAGAGAGAGCATGTTTTGTTCTATATAATTTTTTTGGACAGTTAACTTTTCATTTCACATTTGTCCATATTTGTTCCCCAGGCTTTGATCACATTCCATTTTATTTTGTCCCTTTTAGTTGTTAGCCCCGAAAGTTTCTCCTCAAATGGTCAGCGATTATGTCCATCCTTTCGAGGTGAGTCTTCACTACGGCCCTGATTCGCTCCCAGGAGTAATGGCTGTAGTTCTAAATGAAACATACAAACAAACCAGATATGTTAAGTAGCCAAATAGATGTTTCATTTAAAAGAGATCAGAAAGATGGTATTGTACCTCTTGTATTGTACTGTACTGTACTGTTAACTTTATATCCAAAAGTACGGAGACACCATTTCGAATGAGTGAATTTTAGCATTTTAAAGGGGAACTCCACCAATTGTGCAAAATTACTTAATCATTCAACCCTTTAGATGTAAACAAAATCATTCAGAGTGGTTTGGTGTAATATGCGCCTTTCTAGAGAAATTTACAGAGTTAGAAGTGTTCACCATTATAGTACTAGGAACCAGATGTCCGTGTGTCTACACTACAAATATCACCATTTTATCTGCTATCCAAAATGACCAGTGGACTTACATGCGCCGTATAAGGTTTTATATGTCATGTTGATAATGGTAAAATGGTGCTAAATTTGAATAAATATGTTTTTGGGTACTATTTTTTCCTTACAATGCCCTGCATGTACCCCTCTGCCCTGCACACCTTTTGTGTTGTTTGGGTTGTTGGTGTTGTGTCACTCAGTGTCAACAAAACTCATAGCTTATAAGTAACATTATTCATTAGATGAGCTGCGATAGATAACAGTTGCTCCTTGCTGTCCTACCCCATAAACTGGTGAGCAGAGTAGCAAGTAGTTTGTTGTTGACACCGTCAGTTTCCATTCGCTCTGGGTTGATCTGCTTTGGCGCCAGGTGGCTCAATCTCTCTCTCTCTCTCTCTCTCTCTCTCTCTCCCTCCCTCCCTCCCTTCCTTCCTTCCTTTTGACTCTCTCTTCTTCAAGCTGCTGCAACTCATTTGTGTATTCTGGTTCAAATCGATATGGCTCTATGACATTTTGGAAACAGACCTTATCGATGGCCTCTGCATACTCTGCCATCTTCCAAAATTAGAAGAAAACTGTAAAATAAACTGTAAACAAAAGCTGCTGCCAGTGTTATATCCATTTCAGTTCCCCTTCAAATTCACTGAACAGAAAACAACGGCAAGCAACACCAGAACTACATAAAGTGAAAAAGTTAAAGATTGAATGGCCGCGTGTTTTCACCCAATCTCCAATATAAATTCACCCAAGATAGTATGGCATAACTGAGATTCTGTGATGAACATTTTTTTCAATATGAGTAAACAGTAAACAATTGTATTGATAAATACTTTTTGTACTGTTAGTTGCCGATTGGGTGAATACAGCTGCCGTACAAACCTTTTTTGAACCTTTTTGCTTTCCATAGTTCCAGTGTTGCTTTGCATTGCTTTCTGTTCAGTGAGTGTGTGCGCCCGAGGACCTGATTTGTCAAAGGGAACTTGAATTTGAGGGGGAACTGATAAGGATACAACACCGGGGTTAGCCATGTTGAATAGCTGTAGCTACGGACTAGTAACTCCAAAAGCATGTTAGCTGGTGAGCATTTATGTCAGTTGAGATGCAGTTTTGACAGGAAATGCGGAAATAATCCTGAAGTAATATTTTTACTAAAAGTACGTTTTAGGGCAAAACTTTACAACAAAACGAACACAAAACAATGTCTCAGGTATCAAACAACGCGTTTATAACTGTTTTGTGTAATAACCTAATGGGATGTAGCTTTTAGAGCCATTAAATGCTTTGGACATCTGGTTCCTAGTACTATAACGGTGACCAACTCTGACTCTGTAAATTTCTCTGGAAAGGCGCATTTTATACCAAACCACTCTGAATGATTTTGTTTACATCTTGACCATTGAATGTATAAGTAATTTTGCAAAATCGGTGGAGTTCCCCTTTAAGGTGTACCTAATGCTGATACATTGCAATACATAATAGGTCTCTCTGGAGCAGCCACACATAAGCTTAAGGTCACTATGCCCAAGTTAAGGCATTGCCTAGAGGGATACTTGTGATTCTTAACTAATTATTCAACAATAGTACCTCACTCTTGCTCTTGTGGAATGCAATCAAATTCTCAAAGCAATGCTCCAACATCTAGTGTAAACCTTTCCAGAAGAGTAGAAGCTGTTACTGAAGCCAACTCCCAATTAATAGCCTTGATTTAAGAGGAATCATTGAATGACTAGGTGTCTCTAAGCTTTTGCATATATACATCTGCACACAACACATTACAATATAAGGACACTTACAGCATTTTTGAGAGTTTTCCTCAACTCCCTGAAGTGTTTCTTGAGTTTGGATGATCTTCTTCTTGTGGCTGGGTAAGCTTCAGCCTGTTGGAGAAGGAAGTGTTAAATTAAAAGTCAGTTCAGTGCTCATCGTTTCATGAACCTTGTGCATGAACTTGTGGCTGCAGCATAAAACATTATATCAAGCATTATGCAGCGATTTGCTTTGAGGGTGCATATATATATATATATATATTCAATTGATTATAATACACCACATGTACCTAAATGATAACTAATACACCACATGTACCCCTGCATGTAGACCTACTGTGCATATATTGTGCATATTATATTTCTTTTTGAATACGTACACAGTGTTTAAGTTCTACCAGTTGTCGGGATTCAAGAATGTTCTGCAAATCATCCAGTTCCTGAGTGTCCCATTTCTCTGCATGGTAAAAAAGCTTGACGATCTGCTCTGTAACCTCAGCCAAAAACCTCACTTGGTCCGCAACCTGTAGGAATATAATTAATTTTCATTGTGAGAAAGGAAACAGTTGCCAACTCTGAGCATGTTTCTCCAAAAGCACTGCTGCCTAACAATAATCATAACTAAACACACCAGAGAAAATGTTCAAATATATTACAGAAAATGGACAAATTGTACAGATAGTTATATTGTGGGTTACCGTGCTTTTCTCTATTCTTGTGTAGAGCCTGTGTGGAAATAGTCCAGTTATTGGAACAGTCTGTCCTTCCTACATAAACAACATATTAATATAGGAAGACCATACATGTAGCATAGGTCAAAACAATCACTGCAGATTGACTGCAAATTCAAGATGAAGAATCTGAATAATAGCATCGTGGATAAGCAAACCTTCACTGTGAAAAAGTTTGGACAGTATGCAAAGTTAAAAAAAAAAAATAATGCATGATTTTTACAACTACTTTGAGTTGTGTTTAAATAAAAAAGTCTGGATTTAATATCATACCTTAACAACTCAATTGTTTCATGTAAATATGCACTCATGCATGTGTATAAAAGAAGCCTCCAGGAAAGGCCTAGTATGAGCATAGATGGGTCAAATCCTGTCACTTTGCAAAAAAAAAATACATCAGTAATTAATCCAGCAGTTTTAGAACAACGTTCCTCAGCGAACAGTTGCAAGACGTTTAGGTATTTCAGCCTCTGTGGTGCACAAAATCACCAAAGGATTCTCTCTGTGGCAAGGCTGAAAATCACAACTGAACGGCTGTGACCTTTGATCCCTCAAACAGCACTGCATTAAAAACTACCATGCTTCTGTGAGGTATACGATCAAAGCCCATCTGAAATGGACTGATGCAAAGTTGATCAGTGGAAATGTGTAGTGTGATATGATGGGTTCATTTCAGATTGTTTATGGAAATACTGAAAGTCATCTTTTCCATATCAAAGAAGAAAAGGACCATCCAAATTGTGACCAGTGTGGTGCATTAGTACCCATGGCATGGGTAACCTGCACATCTGTAAAGGCAACATTAACACTAAACTATATATACACATTTGTGAGCAACATGTGCTGCCTTCTAGACAGCATGTTTTCAGGGACGTTTATGCTTAGTTCAACATGACAATGCCAAGCCACATTCTGCCTTTTACAACAGCGTGGCTGTGGGTGACAGACTGGCCTGCCTGCAATCTACTGAAAAGGTGTGGTGCATTGTGAAGTGCAAAATATGACAACAAAGGCCCCATATGGTTACGCAGCTGAAGACTTGTGCAATGGAAGAATGGCAAAACATTCCACATTCAAAACCGGATGGATTTTCTTCAGTGTGTTCAGTCCCCAAATACAGTGGTAAACATGCTCCTTTCCCAACTACTTTGGAACATATTGCATGCATCAAATTTGGAATGAGCATGTATTAACCAAAACATAAATAAATATATTACTTAATTTAAAAAAATACGTTTTTGTTCAGTTTTAAATTAAAAAACAACCCAAAGAGAATTTACAAATCACTGCTTTCTGTTTTAACTAGCATTTCATATACTGTCCTAACATTTTTGAAATGTGACAGACCAGGACAGCCGGATAGATCTTCCAGCAATTCCTAGCCAGGGTTTAATCCTAGTTTTGCAATATGTATCCATGTTTTAGGCAACATAGGAATACCAGATTACTATCAGGCTCTGTCTACCAGCCAAAACTGTGCAAGCAGGCTATAGGCTAGACACAGCATCTTCAATTTACCCAAACTGTAAAAAAAAGCCCATCGGTTTAACCTACAAAAAGTATTTCAGTCTAAATAAATACCTTTCTTTAATGAACGATTCTTTAGATTAAAGCCATGTTTCAGTTAAATAAAATTAGTTTTCTTGCTTGTTACTACATTAAGTAGTTTTATAGGTTGAGCTGACGAGCCATACAGTGCATCACAGTTTCATACACACTTGCTTGTCATTAAACAGAGTCAGACTTTTTGCATTACATACCATTTTCCGCAGCATTGTGAGAGTTTCGCCGCTGATAATCCTGTAATGGTTGGTAATCCAGTCGCAGCCGTAGCATTGAGTCTGGACGCTGCAAAACACGAGAAAAAGGCACAGCCACATTTGTTTGGCGTTCATCTTTGCGTTCATCCTCTCGCTTGCTCAGCTCGTTTTGGAGCAACATGTTGCCGGGTGTTGGATTTATACGAGAGTATGGAAAAGGAAACGAAGCACGTCGTTGCTCAGGTAGCTGAAGAAATTCCTCAGCCCCAGTTGTGTGCTTTCACTTTCCAGATGGCTACGTCACAAGGAAGTCCATGGACACTTTTGCACTTTTTTGACCAAAAATACGACAAAAGGCTCTGAACTGATAAAGTTTCAGAAAGTCTTCACCTTTAAAACTATGCTATCAATACATTCTCAATGGTATAACGAAGAGTGCGGTTTGTTTTAAGACATCGCTCTGTTACGACTCAGCGCTCTAAGATCAAGAAACAGGAACTAATCCATATAACTCGATGAGCTATATTGGATATGAGGTATATACATTAGACTCACCTGATTTCTGCACAGATTAGTATATATTATAAAGCTTAACGAGTCTCTTCGTGTGCAGCTCTTTCTGTCCGCTCCCGGACATCACAAACAAAAAACGAAACCTATACGCTTCCTATCTCCACTTCATAGCCGCCGGAATTTCGATGACGTAATGTGCTGAGGCAACGTTGCGATGCGATGTTGGCTTTTAATTTTGATTTATTTTTAACTATATCATGCCAGATTTTAAATTATTTCATTTTAAATGTCCCCGTGGCTTTTCACCTCAAAGATGTGATTGTCACATTCTCCAGCTAGAACTTTCAAAGCATTCAATTCCAACTTGCTGACCATCCCTAAAACCCAGCTAAAGAGTTCGGGGGGGGGGCTGCTTTTAGTTATCATGGTCCTAAACTCTGGATTTCTCTTTCAGATCGTTTGAGGTCAGTTGATAAACGTAGCATTTTAATGAGACAATTAAAGACCCAGGGAACCCAAATTTGTGTTTTCTTTCTAAATAGGTTAATCTTGTTCTTGCAGGCAAGCGCTAAACATACACTAAGTATATCTTTTGAATAAAATGTAAGATGGGCAGTCCTAATCTTGGGTAATACCAGAGAACTTGTAGGGAGGAGAATTACCACTCTGCAATGTCTTCCGGGTTTCTCAAACGCTAGAGGGCGCTCCTGAGCGAGTTAAAAAAAATAGGGTTGATATGGAGCATTTGAGCAAATATCATAGTTTATAAATGCTTAAACATTTTTAATGTATAACAATACAGTCATTTCCTGAACACAGAATAGCATAAAACATTTTAATACTGCTGTTATATTTTTAAGAGCTTTTAAACTCGAGTTATAGGAGTTTAAAACGGCACCTCATGTATGTCCATGACGTCTGTGAGCACGAACAGCCAATGAGCTGCTCCGCTTGCCAACCAATCAGCGCTCACAAGCAGTAATACCCGCCTTCTGCTGCCCAAAACCCGTTTGTTGTAGAAAAAAGGAAAGATATAGGTATGTTTTCTTTGTTTTTTTTAGTGAAATACGTCCTTCTACTGTCTAAAATTATAGAAACGTTCTGGGAAAGTGATTAGAAACTATTTTAACTTTTCGTTTTTAGCCATTGAGCGCCATTTACTCCCGTTCATTGAGGACTCCCTCGCGGGCGATTGCTGCTGTTTAGCAGTCCTGTTTTTGTTATGATGGGGGAAATAGGAAGTGGCCAGGCTCTTCATAAACTGGCTCTGGCAATGCTTACTGTAAGCATTTCCCTTACCAAACACCCCGCTGTGTCTCTTGCTCCGCCCACTCAAAACAGTTTCAGAGTCAGATAAGCTTAGTGAGCTAAAGCTAACCCAGCATAACCGAAAGCTAGCAAGCTAGAACAGCTGTCTGTAGTTGCCTGTTGCCCCTTCATTCATTTGTCCATACACCAACATTGTTCGCTCGTCTGTTTCTTCATTCATTGCTTTGTCCATCCATTTGTTTGTCCATCTGCACATCTGTTTATCTATGATTTTCTTTGTCCAGTTCCTGTCCCAAAAATCTGGGTAATGATTATAGTTATGTATGAGTGGTGGAGCAGAATAGTTGCCATTCAAGCTTTGCTGGATGATTAACACTCACAAACATTTTTACAAACATTTTTTTTATATTTGACTCTGTGTTCCCTGAGACTTTAAGACTCACCTTAAATTAATAATAGTTTATCAGTTAATTTAGTTACTTTGGTTTTATTCAACTTAAATAAATACTGTAGCGTGTTTGGGAAATGTTCTGCATATTAATTTCAGAGTACTAGTCCTATAACATTTATTCATGGGGTTATCCTGGAAAGGACTCTTATTATGAAGGTGGGGCTAGCCTGAAAGCTGTGTTAATGTGTAGTTCAGCAAGAACTGGGGGTCAGCCTAAAGCTGGAAGTGAGAGAGTGCAGATTTGAGCTTTGTTTAGAGAAAAAATTCTGCTTACACAGCGTAGCTATAATCAAAGTATTCTAACCCATAGCTAGCCTGATTCAAGGTTCCGTTGGTAACTAAATCAAATGTATTTTCATACAGTAGGTTTATTTATAATGTTTACTGTTTTGCCAAAAGTGATAACAAGGAATACTGAAAACGTAAGGTTTGAGCACTCAATCCTGATTAAACCAATCCAGAGAAAGACACTGAAAAAGAACACAAAACTGAGAAATATTGTTGCCATATCACTGGCATGCATGAAAAGAAATCCTTCATCACTTAAATACAATTTAAATTCTGACTGCATACCATTAGTCATTTCATTTTTAGCCAATTTTACCATTTACTCAACATAACCTCGCCTCTAGATACTGCCAAACAGAGAATATGAGATTGGTGTAATAAGGGATTTTGCAGGGGCCCCAAGACAGAGTTAACTCAGGGCCCTAGAATTCCTTAAAATGAACTTGCTTCTGCAGCCGGTAACATCACACACCATGGCTACCCTGTCAGAAAAAAGATACTGTAAAACAATGTAAATGTATCCTCAAAAGTGTAACATGGTCCTTAAGGTCCAATTTTCCAATCTTGAAGGTACATTACATTCATTTTCCTAGGAAACAGGTGTGTTTTTTTTTTCAACCTTTTCTTGAATTTTGTTTAAATTGAAAAATAAAATATTCTGGGCTTTCTGGGTTTCTGTTTGTGTACTTCCATTTGACTATTACATCAACTCAGTTTTGTCTTTCAGTTATGCTTTTGGTAATAATTGTAATGATGTAGCCTAATAATTTATTCATGTGCCCATTCCTTTCGCTTTCTGTTTGTAATGCAAGGCAGGAAACACAGGCAGAAGAAGAGAAAAGTTTTTTAGGTTTCAAAATCAAACCATTTTGAGCCTTCTACAGTCTACCTTCTTCATTGTGCCCCAGCCTGTTGGGCCTTTACCAGTGTCACTGTAGCCTGCACTGTTAACACACCAGAAGGTGTAACGGTTAGTTGATTCACCAGTTAGATACTTTTCTAAGAACAAGACCATTTGGACCAGTTCTTTGGTTTGCAGGGATTTACCTGCTCCACCACACCGAATTCAACTCACCAACTGGCAAACATGGCATAACGACATTCATACATTACTAATGTTTCATCGAAGTTGAGGCTGGTTGAGACTGAAATTATAAAGCCAACATTGGTTTGGATCAACATTACACAATCGATGAACACTGGCAGCTGTGTTTAAGAACAACATTTATGGACTGAGGTTTGAATTGCAGTTCAACTGTTTTGTGTGAGTGTATGCCTGGTGTTTCATCAAGCACTGATGATAAGGTCTGTAATGAAAATGCCCAGGCTGAATAGAGATCTCCATTCATAACAATCAGCCAATAACACTTTTGCTAGCAACATGAAGAATACAAATGTTTTTTACTTTCAGGTTTAACAAAAAAGGTCAGAGACCTCTGATGTAAGGTTGTAATGTAAAGCTTCTAAGCAAAAAACATTCTTCAAAAACAAAAACAAAAACTTTCTGCTCTTGAAATATCTTGGTATATTTAATGTGGGTAGTGCAGTAGTTTAAAGAATTTATTAATTGATTATTAAATATTTGAAGAGTTATTTTTAAGGTTTATTTTTATGCCAGACATTGGGGTTTAAAAATGAATAAATAAATAAACACTGTTTCCCCAGTAAAACCTGGCCATTTTCACCCCGATCACAAATATACACTATGCTATTGTGTGTACTGTTTCTTCAGTGAAATGATGACTTGGTTAAAAGTAAAATTATCTTTCAAAAACCAACTTGAGTAGAAGTACCAAAGAAGCAGCTCTAAAAAATACAGTTCCTTTTAGAAATGTAGAAATGATGTGGAACCTCTTTATACATCCAGCATCCATCAGAATAGAAACTGAAGTTTGTTGGACTCTATTCTTTTATCTTCAAAGGTCTAAAATAAAATAATTAAACCCTTGAATGTGAGAGATGCTGTCATCAACAAAAGATAATGAACTTTAATACAAAAAGGAATTATTTACTGTGTGACTCAAATGTAACTGAGTAATAAGTATCTTCCTTTCCTCACAAACATACTTAGTATATGTTGTGTTAAATCTAATCATCATAAGAATGTTAATTATTGACAAACCACCCTCTAACAAAAGGAAGGAAGAAAGAAAGAATATGGTTTATGTTCATTTTTATTCATTTATCAACATGATAAAAGCATTTTTGTTCTTTTTTCCTCTCAAAAGAATCAGAGGTCCAGTATAACAAAGTTGTAGAAAAACACAGGATTTAACAAAACAGTCCTTACATTAAAATCTGATCATAAAAATAAAATAAATACATTTCAAATGATTTAAATAAATGTGTTTTAAATAAATAAATAAATAAATAAATATAAATAAATAAATAATAAATATAATGTTAAAATCATAAAAATACTTCTCTTGGCTGGTCACTTACACAGTCATACATTATACAATGGCAGAAATAAAAGCAACAATAACAATAATCACTGACACATACAAGTAACTAAAAATAGGGGAATAAACAAAAAACATGGACGCATGTTTATGGTATCATGTCACTTTTGTAACTTTGCATTTCACATCTGTTCATTTTTGGTCCCCAGGCTTTGTTTGTTCACAGGACTGAACATTTTGTGTCTGTTCAAAGTCCATTTTATATTCTATGCTTTTGGCTTGTTAGTCTAGAAATGAGTCCTCAAATCACTGTAGATCATGTACATCCTCTCGAGGTGAGTCTTCACCACGGCCCTGATTTGCACCCAGGAGTCATGGCTGTAGTTCTGAAACATACAAACAAATCATGTTAAGTATCTTATATTTGCTCTTGATGTAGCAACATTTTTCATCACTCACTCTTAAAAAATGTTAATCATAAAATAATAACTGAATCAAAAAAAGAGTCCAATATTATTGTATTGTATAAATGCACAGTATTATGTGTTTAACCCATTTATTGTATTAAATTTGCATTATCTGTTAATAACAAAAAACAAAATAGTTCTTGCTTTACTGTATAAATGTGAACTGGGACTAAATAGAAGGTTAAATTGAAAGAGATCAGAAAGCTGGCCTCTTCTACTGTATGTTAAGTCTATGTCCAAACATAAACTCCTTCTAATCAGTGATTTAGATCATTTAAGGTGTACCCATTGCTGAGATATTGTACACACAGATTGCATAATAGCGAATGGAATGGGACACTCTGGAGCAGCTACATGAGTCTAAGGTCACCATGCCCAAATCTGAAACTGTGGTCTCTGGAGTGATGGTGCACCTTTGGGATAGGTTGGTGTGGTGTTTGTAGTTCAGAACTAATCATCTGACATCAGTATCTGACTTCACTAAGCTCTTATGGCTGAATGCAATCATATCCTCACAGCAATGTTCCAACATCTAGTGTAAGCCTTCTCAGAAGAGTAGAGGCTGCAACTGTCAATAAATAACCTCGATTTAAGAGTGAAAGTTGAAAATCACAATATAAAGACACTTACTGCTTTTTTGAGAATTCTCTTCAACTTCCTGAAGTGTCTCCTGAGTGCGGAGGGTTTTCTTCCTGTGGCTGGGTACGCTTCAGCCTGTTAGAGAAGAGAGCATTTAATCAAAGGTTACTTTGGTGCACATTTTTTTGGCATGAACTCATGAACTCTGTGATGGTGATCTTAATTTGGTAAAGAGTAACTAAACTTGAGGCTGCTGCATAAATACACTACATCAAGCATTACTGTGAGATTTGCTTTGGGGGTACATATTTATTAGTTGAGTTGAATGCATACTTTCATAAAGACATACAAAACTAATGCAACATATGTGCACCCTGGCTTGTAGGCCTACTGTGCATATGATATTTTAAATGTTTAAACACTTACACAGTGTTTAAGTCCTTTCAGCTGCTTATTGGCGAGAATGTTTTGCAAATCATCTAATTTCCGAGTATCCCATTTCTCTGGGATGTCAAAGAGCTTGACGATCTGCTCTGTAACTTCAGCCAGAAACCTCACTTGGACTGCAACCTGTAGACATATAATTAATTTTGATTGTGAGAAAGTATACAGACATTTGCCAATGTTTCTCCAAAAGCATTGTTGCTTTGTAATCATAACAGAGAAAATGTTACAATATATCAGATAAAATGGACAAATTGTATAGTTAGTAATATTGCAAATTACCGTGCTTGTCTCTATTTCCTTGTAAAGCCTGTATGGAAATAGTCCAGTTATTGGAACAGTCTGTCCTTCCTAAAAAGAAATATAAACAACAGTGTCAAAACAATCATCCATTCATCATGCAACAATCCACTTCTTTACCCTGTGTGATGCAAGATTATCTGAACAAATTAACATGTTCTTTTAGCCCCATTAAGGAATGAATAACTACAAATTTGGGATGGTAACAGCATTGTACATTGGCAAACCTCAATTCCAAAAAAAGTTGGGACAGTATGAAAAATTCAAATAAAACAGAACACAGTTATTCGTACATCCACTCCACTTTGAGCAGTATTTAATCCAAAAACAAACAATTTTTAATGCTTTACCATTACAACGTCACTGTTTTTTGGAAATATATACTCATTCATGTTTAGGTATAAAAGAAGCACGCAGGAAAGGCCTAGTATGAGGAAGGATGGATCGAGGCTCATCACTTTGCAAAAAATGCACCAGCAATTAAGAACAACATTCCTTAATGAACAGTTACACAGATTTGAGGTATTTCAGCCTCTAGGGTGCACAATATCATCACATCGCTGCATCATCCAAAAATTCTAATAGAAACTGTACATTGCACAGTGGAAGCCAAATGTCAATCACGTTCAGAAATACTGCCACCTTCTGTGGGCTTGAGCTCATCTGAAATGGACTGATGCACAGTGGTAACACGTATTGTGGTCTGACGAGTCAATCTTTCAGATTGCTTATGGAAATAATAGACGTCATGTTTTCCAAGCCAAAGTAAAAAAGGACCATCCAAATTTTCACCAGTATAAATTTCTAAAACCAAGTTCTGTTATTGTACGGGGGGTGTAACTTGCACATCTGTGAAGACAACATTAATGCTGAAAGATATATACACATTTTGGAGTAACATGTGCTGCCTTTCAGACAACATCTTTTTCAGTGATGTTCATGCTTATTTCAACTTATTTCAGCATGGCTGCGTGAGATAGACTGGCCTGCCTGCAGTCAAGACCTGCAGTCTCTCACTGAAAAATGTGGCGTAAAATAAGACGTCAAAGGCCCTGTACAGGTGCACAGCTGAAGACTTGTATAACTGAAGAATAGTGACAAATTCTGCATTCAAAAAAATGTTCTTTAGTGTCTTCAGTTCCCAAATGATTATTAAGTACTGTTAAAAGGTAAGGTGAGTAACAGAGTGGTAAACATGCTCCTGTCCAAACTATTTTTGAATGTGTTGCAGACATTAAATTTGGAATGAGCGTGTGTTTACAAAAATAAATCATAATAATAAAGTTCACAAGGTAAAACATCACATATCGTGTGTTTTTCTGTTTAAAATTTAAAACAGCTCAAAAAGAATTTACAAATCACTGCTTTCTGTTTTAATTATCATTTCACATGTTGTCCAATTTTTTTAATACTATGTTCTATGTCACAGGCCAAGACAGCTGGATAGATCTTCAAGCAGTTCCTAACTGGGACTTTAATCCCAGCTTTGCTATAGGCAGCATAGGAAAGCCAGATTACTAACAGGCTCTGTCCATCAGCCAATACTGTGCAAGTACAAGCTAGACATGACATCTCCATTTCACCCACTATAGCTCCATACACAGGCTTAAGAGGAAAGCAGTTAGACTTTTTGCATTACTTACCATTTTCCGCAGCATTGTGAGAGTTTCGCCGCTGATAATCCTGTAATGGTTGGTAATCCACTCGCAGCCGTAGCATTGAGTCTGGACGCTGCAAAACACGAGAAAAAGGCACAGCCAAATTTGTTTGGCGTTCATCTTTGCGTTCATCCTCTCGCTTGCTCAGCTCGTTTTGGAGCAACATGTTGCCGAGTGTTGGATTTATACGAGAGTATGGAAAAGGAAACGAAGTCAGGACAGTACCCTTATGCTCAGACAGGTGTAGAACCCCCACCAAACCAAGAGCGATTTTGCTTTCACTTTCCAGAGGCTACGTCACAAGGAAATCCCTGACAACTTTCGCTCTTTTTCAGACAAAAATACTTACAACAGGCTCTGACCTTAGAGGACAAACTTTAAAACTATGCTATCAATACATTCTCAGTAGTATAACGAAGAGTACAGTTTGTTTTAAGACATCGCTCTGTTACGACTCAGCGCTCTAAGAACAAGAAACAGGAACTAATCCGTATAACTCGATGAGCTATATTAGATATAAGGTATATACATTAGACTCACCTGATTTCTGCACAGATTAGTATATATTATAAAGCTTAACGAGTCTCTTCGTGTGCAGCTCTTTCTGTCCGCTCCCGGACATTACAAACAGAAAGCGCAGTGAAACCCACGCTTCATATCACAACCACCGGAATTTCGGTGACGTAATGTGCTGAGGCAACGCTGTGATGCAATGTTGGTCAACAGCGTTTGTTTTGGTTTTTTTTAAACTACACTATCCTTGATTTTGGTCATCCCTGAAACCCGGCTAAAGAGTGGGGGCTGCTTTTTTTTTAACTTATCATGTTCCTAAACTCTGGAATTCTCTTCCAGATCACTGATGATCAGTTGATAAACTTAGCATTAAATGAAAGAATTAGACTCTCCTGTTTGTTACTGCGTTTAAGAATCGTGCAGCTGTGTATAAACTGCAGTTCTTACTGTTTTTATATTTCTCTTCCTTTTTCATGTTTTTTTGTCCATGTTACTTCTATTTTGGGATTTTATACACTGTAAAGCACGTTATGCACTCAAAAATAACTTGCATGTTGTATGAATTCAATTATGCCACACATTTCCATTCAGTCAGTTTACAAGGACTGTTGCCTCACCATAAAACTGTTGATGGAACAGGTTTGAAACGTTTCAGTGCCATTTATTTAGTGTCATTGGAATGGAATTTTTTTTTTTTTTTGCTCAACATAAACCGTTTTCATTCACTGAAATGTACTTTCATTCATAAAAAGTACATAAAAAGTTAAACGCAACACAATTCTATTTTATATCGATATGTTTGGAACTACATCTTGAAAGTCCAGGAACCCTGTTGATAGATTGTTTTGAGTGATAAGCGCTTTTTTTCCATAGTGCTATATAAAATAACGCTATTATTACTATTATTATTTTCATAACATAACTTTTACTATCATTATTAAAATCACATTGCATCGTTTTATCTCTGCCGGGGACCCTTCTCACGTCTCTGGGCAGGGGGACGGAAACTTCATGGCACTGAAAGATTAAATCTGTCTGCTGTCCACTTCTGATGTAAATATTTGATCTATTGCTGCTCAGCCCAATCTAATGAGCTTCAGGGGCTGCAGTTCGGGCCTCGGCCACTAGGGACGATTTTTAATGCAGTAACATTAAATGCAGCTGGAAAATATGCTTACGTCCAGTGACATTTTTCCTTCTATGTTAGTCTTGCGGGGAGTTTTTCACCCTGCAGCGCCTTTACTTTATATGTCGAAGGAAATGTAAATAAATTCCCATACAAGCTTTGTGAAGTTAATCACTATTCTATGTCACAAACTACACTGACTGAGAGCCAGTGGGATCGTTCATCTTCATAATCACAAATCTATGTTTTTAAACCTTCCAGCTGCTGAACACACTATCGCCCATTACGCATCAGTTTATAAAGAGCCCTAATTATTGTACCTCTTTCTCCTGCCTATAAACACACTTAAACAAGACTTCATGAGTTCTTTATTAAAGACAATGGTTCGATTTACAACCATGAGTTCAATATAGAACTGTTTGCATGAGTAAATGGTTCTTTGCGAGGTGGAATGGTTCTTCAGGTTGATGGAGAAGGTGCTGTAGATGGTTCTATTTAGCACCAAAAAGGGTTCTGCTATTGTTATGTCCAGCTTGTAAGAATAGCAGAACTTTTATGGTGCTATATAAAGCCATAAACAACACATTCTACACCAACCTGATGTAGCTTGGGTGGGACACGGGCTAAGTCGTCCAGGGTGGGCCCTGCTCCCTAAGCCCACTTATACTGTAAGCTTAAATTAGTTGACTTTAAAAAGCATGCAAACTTACTGCCTCGAAATTATTACTTAATAGGTTTAAGCTTAAACTTTATATTTTATTTATATGAATATTTATTTTCAGTGAACCACACTTCTACAGCAAGTAAGGTTCAAACAGCCCAGCGGTTTCAGCTGAGCTGGCAGTACTGTGCTCTTTCCAGTCCTGTTTCCTTTCGATTTAGTTATAGGTTAACTTGACTCAGCCTAAGTTAGCTTGTCATTTAATTGTGCTTTGCTGCAGATGCATTGGTATCAACTGTGAAACAGCTCCATTTTTAAAACTGATTGCTTCACACAATACTGAACAAACGGCTGCATATCCAAAGGCTTCATATTGTCTTATTTATTTCTTCATGTAGTAATGAAGAACTGGATAAGACAATAGTCACCCATTTCTGAGAGCTCGCCTGGCTTCAAGTAACCTTGCCATTCTGTTCAGTAACGGCTCGGGGGCTGGTATTCCGACAGTCTGCATGAAAATACAACCAAACAGCGCTGGCCCTGCCTATTAAGCGAACTAAGCGGCTGCTCACTTTTATGTTGTCTTGTGCGTGGTGGAGCGCGTGCCTTTAAAAAATAATAATTTAACCCAAGCATGGCGCTAAAATGGTGTGGATCGAATTTTCACCCGCTTCCAATGTGATCGGAATTTTAACACATTTTAGCATCATTCGTGTTTCCTGCATGTTTTAACTGTCCGTGTCTTTGATTGACTGCTCACAATCCCCGCCCCGTTTTCTTGGCCCTCCAATCACTGTTTCAGCCACCATTTCCACCCTCCATTCGCGTCGTCCGTTCAGCCTGCGCGCCAGATTTGAATGTAAAGCTCCGGCTATGTGGATAAAACGTGACTGTTTCAGACAGACGGACTGAAAGATGATGTTTTATGCATTTCCAAATGCAAAGCAGAAATAAAAACATCCCTGGATTAATCTCAGCATCAGCTGAACACGCGTATTAACGACAATTTCTGCTCAAAGGTGAGTCATTTGCTGGTTAGTTGATGATATATGCAGTTTGACTGAATAATAATCCGTGTACAAAAATACTCTTACAAAAAGTTGGTCTCAGATTTAGAACGCTGGTGTAATACTGCTGGTACGCTGAACCATCCAAGTCGTTTTACTTGATTACGTATTACAGGCTTTTACAGCGCCGGCTTTGCAGTTATTTCATTAAGTACATGAAGCAAAGCAAATCATGATGATCAAACTCAAACCTAGTAGACGAGCAGAGCTGATGGCATTTTTAGCTCTATTTTTACATTAAGAGTTGAGCATTTTATGAGGTTTTTCTCGTTTTCCGTTTTGGAAATACATTTCTGTTGGAGCCTCTCTTGTGGTAACAGGCTTAGAAGCTCACCCATGAGTTCGTTGTGGTTGTTAGCTTATTAATCACATTTTATTTCTGCCAGCTGCTATGAGAATCAAGATTAAGCAGTCAGAATTATACATTGTTCCTATGAAAGTAATTCTGTTTCTGTATTGGCAGTAGTGTTGTTTACATCGATTGATTAGATTGACTGAAGGTATTTTGAAATAATTATGATAACACTATTTTGGTAAAAGGCAATCTAATGGTGTGACATGGTATCGGGGCATCATGCAAGCCAAAATCCTGGCGGGGAGGCGGGAGGGGTAACAATTAGAGCGGGGTCCAAAAAAAGTGAGTGACGCAATTTTCTGCAATCTCTCTCTCTCTCTCTCACACACACACACACACACACATATGTATATATATATATATATATATACACACACATATATATACCACATACACACACACACACACACATATATATATATATATATATATATATATATATATATATATATATATATATATATATACCTTAATAATCCCACTTTATCGTAGTGTGTGTATTTATTTAAAGATTTTCTTGTTAATTATCTGTGCTGTTATGGCTGCCAATGACACTCACCTATTCACTCACTTCTACACTAGCTTACACTGCAGACACTTTTGCTGGAATCGATTTCAATCTTGTCTGCCTCACCCAAAAAGTGACACTAATTAAGGGGCATACATTCGAAATTAAAGACTATATCCACAATTCAAATTAATTTAGAGAACATACGATAATTAAGCCACAAATTAAAGGAAACTGACAACATGGTAATAGCTGCATTTTCAGTCACAATGCACAGGAAGCAGCGTGAGTACAGATGAGACTGCTCACCTCTATAAGACTCTCACAGCGCGCCTTTACTAATATTAAATAGGATGCTATGCATCACAAGTCACGACTAGCTAGCAAGCCAGAAAGCTAAACAACTGGACTGAGGGATGGCTACTAACTTTAGCTGTTACTAGCCATTGCCAGCTATCTTGCAAAGCAAACTATGTCTATTTTTCAAATGCACTTAAGTATTTATAACTAATTGCAATTCATTTTCACAAGTTTGAAAAAGGGCTGTGTGTGTCTGCACCTGCTGCTGCACCCGATTTTATTTTTTTTTTAACATTTGGAAGAAATTTCTTAGGGTAAGGGGGTGCAAGATTTTGATCTATGACATAATTAAAAGAATATGTTTCACTCATAATACACAATGACCATAACTACATATAGAAATAATATGAATAAAATAAAAGAAAAAATGTAAAAATATAGATATAAAAAATCAGGTGGGGCACGTGCAACCCGCGCTCGAATGGGCCGAATGGGATGTAATAAATTGCATCACATAAATACGCAGTGAGTAAAGCTTATAACGGTAAAAAAGCACTGTCGTCACTACTTTAAACTGTAACCTATTAGAATCCAAAAGATCATTAGCCAGATATAAATGTACAATTTGTTATAGTATTTGTTATTAGTTAGCCTTTATTTCACAGTGAAAGCAAGCAAACAAGCTGGAAGCTTGTTGTTTAAGATTTCTTATTTTTTTTTACAGTGGTTTGTTTCCTCGTTGTGCCCCAGCCTGTTGGGCCTTTGCCACCATAGCCTGCGCTATTAACGCGCCAGAAAGGGTGTAACTTAGCTTAAATGATTCACTGGTTGGGTAATTATCGAAGAACAGAACCAGTTGGACGAGTTCTGTGGTTTCCTGTTTGTGTTGGATCACCCTGGTAGATCAACGGGCTTTAGGCTACACACACACACACACGCGCCCGCACACATAAGTCTTTCTCGCGTCCTGCGCCTTAAGTCCTCCTCTCACTCTCACTGTCTGTTTACCTCTGAAGTAGTGGGGGGA